CTCAGTCAGTAATGGCACAAGTTAGAGCTCTTGTATGAACCTTCCTCTTATCTGTAGGTGGGGAGGAGATCTGGATCTAGAGCTGGCCTGCTACAATCACTGGCACACCAAAAGTCACAGATAATCAACCAAGGAACTGGTTGATCATCCACAGTGGTTTCTCTTCTTCCAGGGTGAAGGAATAAATACATTCCTAAACTGTGCCTGAGCCACCCAGTTCTGGGAGTGAATGGGTGGCTGAGAAGAAGGACTCCTCCTACAGGAATTTCTGCTGAAGCAATGGGAGTATCTTTCTCCTCTACCCTGATTGGTATTGCTGATATTCACTGTACTGAATTACAGGATAAAGTTGACAGTGATGAGGCACCTTTCCCTGTGAACTGGGGCCTAAAATACATTTTTCAACATGAGGCCCCTTCCAACCTGAATTATTCTATGATTTCTGACTTCTCAAGGTAGGCTACAGTGAAGGATAGTTATATTAAATCTCCTTAGGTGCTCTCCTCTAATGATAACTTCACTGTCTTGCCTAGGAACTTTCTTTAGAAACGTTTGCCTCTGATCTGCTGGGGTGTAAACATAGAGGAGAGAAAGGGGTATCCCACTTTGTGAGCAGGAGAGCTAATGAAGGCTGCTTTCCCATGGATTTATGTCCTGTGTCCCTCATGCTCCTGTCCATTCAGCTGACCAGTAAGCCCTGGCTCCTCTTCATGCCCACCACCCTACCTCCAAGGTGTTCCTCCAGGGCTACAGACCATTGTTCTCCTGCAGCATTTCCAGTTCTTCCTCATCTCCCTTAATTGCCACTTGACTTTCCCTGCTCAGTATTTGCAACTCTCTGAAAGACTTTTAGCGAGGTGAGAAGGTAGGACACACTGGTTCAGAAGACAAGGGAAGTAACAAGTCAGAACACTTGAAAATTGCTTAAGCAGACACCTGGGTCAGTAACAAAACCTGACCAGTGTTGTGCTTTTTGTGTAACTGCAGTAACATACATATTGGGTAGCACTTCAACATGCACGTAGAAGTTTATACTCAGATTTGGAGATCTTGTAACAAACTGTCAATATTGTGAAAAAGGTGAGCTTCCAGAATATCAAAACAAACAACCCCTGTATTTATCTTCATCCTGCCTTGCAAGGAAGAGGAGTATTCCTCTTATTTTACAGACAGAACTGAAGCTGACAGGCTGTGTTACTTACCTGCTGGCAGAAAAAAAAAAATGTGGTGGAACAGGGAATTGACCACCACACTCCTAATTTCCAAGACAGTGTCTTAAACGCTGTACCATTTTTCTGGCAAAGCTAATATGCGAAAAAGAAAGCTTTAATATGCTGTACCCTGCACTTTGTTTTTTGCCCTCTAGTCATGCATTGTCCACATAAAAACTATGTTTCGCAGCACTTTCTCAGAAGCTGGAAAATAATTTCCTTCCACTAGCAAACATTCTATCTGGGCCGTGTGGCACCACAGAAAAAGTCAATGCAGCTTTTCATTTACTGCTGTGTCTGCATGTTAACATGAAGAAGGTCAGTAGGAGTGTACACATTTCTGAGAAAATGAGTAGTTAATTATTGCTAGACTGCAAGAAGGTTAAGTAGATTTATTTTGGTGTGGAAAACTGAAAATCATAAAAACTGCTTTTTTTTCTGGACAGGTTTCTTTTTTTTTCTTTGTGGGCAAGCACATATACAGTAAACTTTGCAGATCAGTTGATGCTATTAAATGTGTTTAAGTATAAAAGAAAAAAAAATCCCTTCTCACCTTACCAGTGAGAACTACTTCAATAAATCAAGTGCAGTCTTCAGCAAATATTTAAAATTCCTCTTTTTTTTTCTTGCCAGTATCCTTTGCCATACTTCCTCCTCCTGTCGTGTTTGCATTTGAAGGTTTATTTGCATCTACAGTGTTTCAGAGCCATGTTGCATTTAGACCAAAATGCCAAACTTATTCTTCATAGCACAAGTTTTAACAATTTCAAAATTTATCAGCTTACTGCAGCAGGTCCAAATTTAGTATAACCAGTTGCTTTTGTTAGGAAGTCAAAGCGGTGTTTCAAACTTTAATCCAAGTCCACCAAAGGCTGAAGTTATATTTGTTGTTCATATGCCAGCTAGAATAAATAAGTATTCATATTACAGAATAAATGACTTTAAAAAAACATTCATAGAAAACTTTTTTTTTTTTTTTAATCAAATGTTTTGTCCCAAACCTTGTATCCCAACAATCAGAACAGGTAGACTAAAACCACACAATGGATTCCTCTCTGAAGGGCAGATTAGACACAGATTTCCCAAGTGCTAGCGATTATATAAAATAATGAATTATTATAAACATCTAACAGCTTTGCGTGCTTGTGCTGAAAACCAGTAGTTGCTGCAGGCTACAAAAGTAGTAAAACCTCCTAACTTCAGAGCAAGATAAGGAAACACTTTTAGGGAGCACAACTTGCTATCTATCCAACTTCACCTGCAGCTGAGCAGTTAGGAGATGGGAAGGGTTGTGTACAGTGGCCAGGAGCAGGGCAAAGCATTGTCACCACGCCCAGAAAGCCAACTGCAGGATCAGGACTTCCCACAGGAGTCTCGGGCAAGTCTCCAGGCAACTGGCAACTGCCAGAGCAATAGTATAAAATTTCAGTGTAAACTGCGAATTATTGCTGTATGTTCCTTGTTGACTTAATAGTTTTGTTTTGTATTGGTTTGCAAGAAGAGTAATTAGTTTTATCCAGATAAAATAAAAAATATTTTGAAAAAGGCATTCAGTATTCTAACACTTTAAAGACAGGGCAAATCACCCATTTTATCAGGTTGAAGACAGCAAATGAGGAGTTACAATCATTAAAACATATAACATTTTCAGAGTTTCAATGCACTTTGGTAGTATGGAACAAATATGCACTGCTGCAAATCCAATATTAAACAAATACAAATCTTACCAAGCTTATTTGCATGTGTTATCATCTCATTTTGGCCCCAGAACGAACTAGAGATCATGACCAACAGACATGTTGGATTTTATAAATTCTAAATAATTAACTTCACGTACTCAAGTGTTTTGCAACATTTAAGTGAAATGAAGGCAAAAAGGCTCAGAACCTGTTAGCACACAGCCACTGTTCTGAAACCATCTAATATTTGTCTAGGAAAGATCCGGACTCAGCAAATTGTTCAAGTTCACAACACGGAAGAGTAGCAGAGATTGTCTTATCTCCTAACTCCAAATTAAATAATTTAATATCCTCTATCACATCATTTATCCTGAAGGAGCAGTTTAATAACTGTTCCGCATTAGCATGATGTATGCTGTGTGTCACTAAGCAGCATTATTGAACAATATTGAACAATTTCCAGTTTCTGCTAGAACTCCTTGTTTTCTAACTAGGCAGTTATAGATTATTTGTATTTAAGCAATGCTTTATTTCCATTGGAAAGGTATTTTAGAAGAAACAACTTTGCTGCAACTTTCTGGTTCATCACCATTGAGTTTTGCTCAAGAAAGCAAGGCTCCCTCATTTTCATGCTCTCATTGGAGAAATGTTTAAGTGATAGAAACCTCTTTGCTCTTCAGTTTGATTCTTCTTCTCCTAGCAAAGACTGAATTTGCTTTGTGACAGAGTTGTGCTATGCCATGTAGGGAAACTTCTGTCAACAACCCTGAAGTTGGATGAACTCTGGCTTCAGCCATCGTCTACCCTGTGAGAGCACCTGAGAATTCACAAGAATCAAGTGTGCTCACATTTTCCCAGCAAGCAAGCTAAAAAATAAAAAAGTAAAATTAAAAAAATGTAACGCTTACTGGGATAATAGGATTCTTAAAAAAATATGTCAGGAGAGGAAGTACATGTTTGAATGAGAAGGGAATTACAACAAAAGGTAGAAAAGGAATAGCAAGTAACAGAATGGTGTTTTGGAAGAGAACATCATAAAAGTCAAGTATTTTATCTGTCATTAGTAAAGCCAAATGATATCTGTAAAAATAGCAAATTAACACCTCAACTTTATAAATAACACTCATTACAAATACATTCTACATAATATACATTATTTTGTAGTGGTCAAAATGTTTGTCCCACAATCAGATACTAAGAATAATCCAAGGAAAGAAGACATCATATTCAAGATAAATGTATGTGCTACACCTATACTTAACAATATTTGTTAGGATACAAACCGTAAAAACTGTAGGTTATAGAGTGCTTCTTTCTTCTGAAATCTGAAAACATCATTTATTCAGAACCTATTGTTAAGAGAAGCATCCAATTAGGGTAAAGATCTTTAGCAGGGGCAATTCTTTACTAGGCTGTTCTGACAATCAGTATGCCTACCATAAAAGTGCTTTCTAAAAGCGCAGCCCAGCAGCCAAGTGGTCCACACCTTTATGAAAATGCATTTAAGGTAAAACAGAAGACAAGCAGAGTAAGAAAAAAGCGAGAAGTAGTAACATGAATCATCAGAAAAGAATGAGGGCAAGGAAGCACTTCAGGCACTGGAGTAGTCTGTGGAGAGGACCATTGCAGAGCAGATATCGACACTGCAACCCATGGAACACATCACAGCACCTGGATTATTTCCTTAAGGAACTGCAGCTCCTGAAGAACCCACACTGGAACAGGTTCTCCTGAGAGGAGCTGCAGCCTGTGGAGAAACCACGTTGGAGAAGGGAAGAAGTGTGAGGAGGAAGGAGCAGCAGAGGAACTGCTACAAACTCTCTATAACCCCACTCCCCATGTGCTGCTAGGGGGCTGGGGCAGATGAGTAAAGAATGAAATTAACCCTGGAAAAAGGAGGGGAGAGGGGAATGTTGGAATGTGTTTTTTGTTGTTGTTGTTCACTTCTCACTATCCAAATCTATTATAATGGCAATAATTACATTAATTTTCCCTGTTTTTATCTAGACCCATGAGCTTCTTTATCCTATTTTTCCCCCTTCCTATTTGGAGGGGAGAAATGAGAGAATGGCTGGCACTACTCGCAAAATAAATGAAATAAAAATACACATTGATTTGAAAAGAAGAAATTTTAATGTACAAATTCACACTCACCATGTTATATTTTGCATAAGAGAGCACAAATCTGCAGTGGTCTCTCTCAGTATAAACTTCTGTCATGTTTTCATAAAACCACAAAAAGTAATTCTCAAACTAGGGAGGAAACTGCAGTGGTCTGCATGATTTAGCCTATTCATAATTTTTTCTAGAAGTGTTTACAGATTAACCACAAAAAATAATTCTTCTTCCCTTTTCTCAAGGAAATAAATATTTCACTTCTAAACTTAATCCTTCAGCGCTCTAACAATCTGTGCATTGTTACCAAAGCACCTTTTGTCAAAACTAGCATTTTTTTTTTCCTCTTGGCATTCCAGCCAGTAGCGTTTGTTGCTCCTCATGCGCCCACACAGCATATTCAGAATTCTTCTCCAGCGACACCCACAGGCACACTTCAGTGTAAGAAGAAACAGCTGAAGAGTCCGTCTTCAGTTCTGCCTTGCAATGCACCCAGCCAGCCACATTACTTTCTTCCAAAGGGATCAGACCACACTTTTAACCCTATAAACCAAATACAAAAATGACCAGCAGTTCATAAGTAGTGTTGCGGAAAAAAACAAACTTGTCTTCTACTCCAGCCTTGTGGACAAAAATTGAAAGAATCTAACGTTTTCTGCACTGAGCTCTCAGCCCTGCTTAAGACTGCAAAAATATTTAGAAAGTCAACTTCATCTTGACCTTAAGCTTCAGATAATGGAAAATCTATTACACCCATGTGTAAGGTGTTCCAATATTGTTGGAAAAAAAAAAAAAACACTAGAACGGCACCTTGGCTGGATTTTGCTTTCAACTAGTGGGTTTCGTAAATTCTTATTGGCAGCTAAATTTGAATTAAAAAGTTATACTGAGGATGATTAGTCATCAAGTACCTGCATCGTGGATAAATGAGACAGTCCAATCTTCTTTACTATTTAATAAATAGGCAGATTTAACAGACTCCTATTTCATAATGATTTCCTGCTCTTCTTCAACATTTCACCACCTTCTTGGAAAGCAAGTCCTGCACTGACGAATTAACTGATGTGCGTAGTTAGGACATGGCATTAATCCTATTGGATTTTCCCCTGCTTCTGCTGTCAGGCTTTTCTAAAAATAGGAATAAGTTACCCTTTAACATATTCGAATACAAACTGTTTCATCAAGACAAGCATTCTTGTATCTTTAAACAAGAAATGCCAACCTTGCACAGTGAATTGCCAACTCTGTTACCTAAGAGACAACAAACTATCAGGGATGGTCTGATATACTACAGGTTTGTTCCCCCCTGCTTTTCTACCAACAAGAGGTAGAAAAGCACGGGGGAATAGCAGGTATCAAAAAGCTATTATTGCTGCATTCAAAACTTCCATTTGTGCTGTGGATTTCTACCTTAACCCTCCTCCCACGAGGCTGGAAGGTACTGATAAATTCTTCATAGATTGTGGTTAAGCTGAGTTGTAAGGCAGTACTCAACAAAACAAGGGAACAACAGGGTATTTTCTACAGCTACGGCCTGGACCATTCATGGTTCCTTTACTCTGAGCAGGTTTTCTTGTGTGGAAACTGTTTAAGACTGAAGATTACCGAATAACTAAAACTTCACTTGGCCAGTTAGATCAACTGAAAACAGGTCTAGTAAATACATAATTTGTAAGCCTGAGAAAACACTTTCATGGTAAGTTTGTTATACACGTGCTCTTTCAATGTAATCTTCACTGTATTGTTTAAATCTATAGAAATATTCGGGTCTTACTTCAGGAAGACCTTTAAAGCGATCAATGGAGACACGTGAATCGAGTATACCTGGAGGCTGAATATCCTCTTGAACAATACCAGCTCGGTTTATTGACTGTTCTTTCTCTGGAAAACAAAACAGAAAGAACACTACTTATAAAAAGAAAATACCACACACCTTGCCTATTCCTAATAAAACAACACTGAAAATTACATTCATTCTGAATCCTACACAGTAAAATTCTGGTGAGTTATCTGTGCATGCAACACAAATGGAGCCTTCACACGTAGCAGAGAAACTAACAGCTAGTCTGCTCTGAGAGATTGCAAACAAATTGTAAGATAGTCATCTTGAAGTAATGACTACTTTTTTAAAAAATGCTGCAATACCTGTTGTCATGCCATAACTTAAGCAATGACCAGTACTTTTAGGAGCTACCCCTCACATGCTCAATGTAAAACTCCTCAAAAGATTTATTACTTCCAGAATCAGTGATCCCCATCTTCAGGTCCTGAAAAATCTTTTGTCTCATCACACACAGTTTTCACGGCAGCATCTATAAAATTACTGCTGGCAAACTTCATGAAACTGAGTATGGGGGATATTTTCCATAGAGTGGACCTGTCTCAGTGTTTTTGTTTGTTTTTTAAATCTAAACACTTCCAGAAAGAGAAACGGGCAAAACTATATCATTTTCCCTATTTCCCTCCCCTTTTTTCCCCCCTTTCCAGTCAAGGGCTTTACTACTGTAGTGCTTTGAAGCAGGAAGTCAAAACTTGTCTGGATTATTAGCCTTTTGTCAATCCCACTGAACTTTTTAAGCCTCTAAAAAAATTGTTGTGTGCACTGTCTCAGGGGAAACTCTGAACTATGCACACCTTAAAACTAGAATTTTTCCACATCCTATCACACTGAGAATGCACAAGCACTGCAAGTGATCAGGCTGTCTAGGTACATGCCTAAGGCACTAGCAGGAGTATCACTGATCCTAGTTGCAAGGGGACAGGCACTCAGTTCTGTCCATGGAGAATAAGAATTGCTGTTCCATACTCTTTAGTATACAAAAGCTCAATCCATTTTCAAACAATAGGGTGTAAAACTCAGAGAAAACAGAACCGGTTAGGGCAAGGAATCAGACTTACTCCTAGACATGGAGGAGAAGGACAGCCAAAAAGTATGAGATGGATGCTAAAATGAGAGGAGAGGCAGAGATCAAAATAGGAATCAATTTGAGAGGTCTGTCTGAAACACAATTGGGGTGAACAGAAAGAGCTGTTGGCTGGTCAGGCAAAGAAACTGACACAGACTGTAACAGATGAGAAACACGGAGACCAGACACAGAATGGCCAATTGGGAGACTAGGATGGGGCCTGGGAGCAACTTGGAAAATGGGTAAAACAAAGAAAGAAAAATGAGAAAAAGCCAGTCTCAGTGGTAGGACAACAACCTCACAGGATGGTACAGCAGAGCCTCACAATTCAGTAAAATCATGGATTCTACTGTGAAAATGCCTTATTCCCATCTGGCCTCAACCCAAATAGATTCTGTCAACCAGCTGCATTAATTAATCTAAATGGAAGAGGTGGAAGGATCTCAAGGTTTCAATGCTGCCTAAATTATGTGTTTATTATGAGGAACAGTCTATTTTAAAACTAGTCCCAGACATGAAAATATCAGGAACATCGAAGCTACAAGCTGAGGTACTAAAAAGCTATAAAATGATAGCACTTCTATATGAAATTAAGTCAGAAACCCCTGTGTGAACAATTTATGGTACAAATTAGCAATTTGATTACATGCTGTTTTCCCAAATATCCTCCACTTTATTTGTTAAACCGCTAGGAATTGCCTTTGAAGATGTGTGAGTATCACGTGGAAAAGACTTGCTCCTGAGCATACCGTGCCTCACTTGTGCAGAATTCAGGTGACACACAAAAAATCCAAGATGGAAGAAGGAAATTATGGCATTTTATGTTTGCAAAGTTGAATGGCACTCACGAACTACAATTCATTCTTGCCTCTTGCAGGATTACTATGGGCTGCAAACCCACATGTCCGACTGCAGACCCAGCTTCTCAATACACAGAGATAACGAGTATTCACCCACAGCTCAAGTTAATTGGGGGCTGTGTTAGGCTTCTGTAAGTTTTGTTGCTATACAGCTTACTAGATTGTACTCAGAAAATTAAATCCTCTGCAGCCCAAACACTAACACTGGTATTTTCCCACCACAACCATGAAATCCCATGTTCTCCTCTAAGAGTTAGGTGAATGTTTGTGCTGCTCTCATGCAACTGGTGAGCATCAAAAAGAGCACAGGGAATATCCTGAGGTGGAAGGGAAGTTACTAAAGGTGCAGCCAAAGGAGAGCTTGAGCAGAATGTAATAAATAAAGTCTAAAATCAGGCACTAAATAGCAAGTGTAAGTACTTACTAACCGTACACTGCCCATTTTATGTGTTAAATGGAGACTTAAAAAAATTCCTGACAGGGAACATTTGCTCATGTAACTCACAAGCACAGGTGATGAAGTATCCACTGGCTCTCTCCCTTCCTTAAGGAAGGATCACACATCATAATTTTGGAGACCACACCACGTGTAAAAAGGAGTAAGGTACGCGAAAAAGAGTAGGGTTTTTAAACGGGCACACAGGGGAGAACACCTGTCCTTGGGGTCAGCGTCCACCTTCACAAACATCGCCTCCCTAAATAATCCCCGCTGCTTTCCAGCTACATTTCACTTCACTCCCAACGCGAGGCCAAAGTCCCTCGGAGAAGATCAATGAGTTTGCCGCCCTGTTTTTTGTCGTTTTTCCTAGAAACCCCCTCCAGCTGCTTCGCCAGGCGGCGGGCAGACGGCAGGAGCCCCGCGTGGCAGCGCCGTGCGACCTGTGGGGACATGGGGACATGGGGACACGGCTCCCCCCGGCTCCCTGCGGCCCCCCGGCACTCACTGTACTCATCCGGCAGCAGCAGCGGCCTGAAGTAGATGGGGTACAGGGCAGCCCCCACCACGGCCACGAAGCCGCCGAAGATGCCCAGCGTGCGGCTCAGCCCCGCCATGATGGCGGCGGCCCCCTCCTCTTCCTCCTCCTCCTCCTCCTCCTGCACCGAGGCTCCGCCGCTGCCGGTTCCGGGGCTGATGGCGGCCGCCCGCCGCCGTGCTCCTCGCCTCCCGGTGCGGCACGGGGGGACGGGGCACGGCGGGCTCCCCGCTGGCCGGAGGGGACGCGAGGGCGGCGGCTGCTGCTGCTCGGGGCGAGCCGCTGCCCTGCCCGGCCGCCGGCTCCTCCTCCTCCGGGAAGCCGGATCCGCCGCAGCCCTGCCGGCCGGGCAGCGGGCAGCGCCGCCACGCCGATGGGCGCCTCCTCGTCCTCCTCCTGCTGCTGCTGCTGAGGCGCCGCGGCAGCATGGAGCCCGCCGGGCTGCCCCGCCGCGTCCCCCCGCTCCTCCTCCTCCTCTTCCTCACGGTGAGTGGCGGAGCGCCTGCCCCGGGCGGCCGTGAAATGGTGGCGGGGCTGCGGGACCGGCCCCGGGGGGTTGGGGGTCTCGGGGCTGTGTGTGGTGAAGCCCTTTAAACTGGACCATTTTAGCTTGAACCGCGTTAAACTGGACCCCTGAGGGGTGGAAGAGGGGGGTGCCTCTGGGGTCTGCCTCGGGGCGCATCAGCCGCTGGAAACAAATCGGGTTGTAAAGGTGTCAGCTGAGCTGAGCTCCTTTCCCCTCTTTGCCGCTGCGAAATGCAAACTCCTGTCCCAAGCCTTCGTGTGCGTACAGATTGGGGTCCATAGGAGCAGGTGGGCACCCTGTTGTGGCGGGTCTGCTCTTCAGGCATCCCAAAGCAGCGCGACGTGGCGGCTGTGCGCAGGTGAGGGACTGGGGTTACCTTCAGGCATGGTGTGACCCGGTGTGATCCCAAAGGGCTGTGTGGAATTTCTGCAGGGGTGAGCTCTTACCTGCTGAGATCGTATTCCAGCCAGTGAAGGCACCGTTTCTGTAGTATTTCACCACTGAAAATGCTCACTTCCCTACTAATCGTAGTGATTTTCTCCCACAGCGATTTTACTCCAGCACTGGTGTGATGGCGTGGGCTAGATCGCTCCCTCAGGTTCAGCAGGTTTAAGAAAAAATCCAAGAAGAAAACTTGGACAGCTTTTACGATCAAGTTGCCCCACACAATGAAGCCTCTGTGCATGTCTTACTGAGCCCTGCCTGTCTCATGATACCATGTTTAATCCACCATAGCTGGCCTGTTTACTACACTGGGAAAATTTTACTTTTAAATCTCATAATCGCACTCATTGTGTAATCCTTTCATCCTAGCTCTCTGTAGCCAGAGATTACGTGCAATTAACCCTGTGTTGTCTGAGGTAATGCTGAGGGAAGTGATGTTTAGGGTTCCTCACAGACAGACTTATTGAATAGGCGTGCTGCCAGCACATTGGAGAGCAGTGCACAGGGGTAACCAGGTGGGAACACACTCAGCCACTGTCCAGAAAAGTTTGCTGTCCGTGGTCTGGCACAGCTGCATCGCTGTGGGATCACTCCGGGGGTCTTTGCACTGTGCTCCTTGCTGGATGGGCATCCTGGAGGATTTATTAGGTGTGGTGCAACAGCACACCAGACTGTGCTTCGTGCATTTTTGCAGCTTGTGTCTCAATACCTGAGGCACCACAGAATACAAAGGAAAGGTTCTTTAGGAAGCCTGTGCAAGCCATTTTGCAGAGCGGGCACTGAGGGCAGCGCAGCTGAAGCTGACCTTATGCATCAGTGGTCACGCTTCGTCATGCTTAGGTGCTCCAGGAGCAGTCTGTACTACAAGGAGCTGGCTTTGAGTTGCCGTGCTTACTGCCTTGGGATATCCTCACCACGGGGGGGAGAAAAAAAACAAAACACCAGCGTAATTTCTGCCAGAGTCAGCCTTTCGCTGGAAGCCGGATGGCCACATTTCACATCCTGCTGCGTCTTTGCTAATGAACCCTGCCAGACCCAAGCTGTCTTTGCTGGGAGCCAACTCCCATATCTCTGTGTTGGAGGAACCCCTGGGAAAACTGAGAGCTGCCTGGATGATTTTTAGCTTTAAATAAGTGTATGCAGTGGTAACACGATGATTCGTAGCGTCTACCTGGTAGACTTCAATGTTTTCTGATAACTAAATGACATGACTTCTATAATCTGGGGACCGTGCCATAAGGAAGATCATAATAAATCATACAGATTAAACTGTTTTCACATACTGTTTATTGCAAGATCAAAAAATGTTTGATAGATATGGATGGCATCCATCAAGTAGAAGAGGTTTGGCATGATTTGTGTTTGCCGTTGTGTCCGTTCTTTAGCAATATCTATAGCCATAAAAGGCTTATATAAGAAGCATATCATAATAGTAGCTGTGCCTGAAAGGTATTGGAGTCAAAATCAAGGTTCTCTAATCAGCTTTCTAATGTGTATTTGTGCAGGTGTTTTATTGCAGGATGTGGTAGTAACTTCCAACGGACACCAGCCCCTTTCTGCTATTCCTTTTTTATTCCCTTCAGTAGGTCCATCATAAAACACATTATCAACAACACGGGCCTGGAGATAGATTTGTTAGGGTCAAATGAATATTTCAGTGCGCTTTGCCACTAGTGACTGAAATGCTAACTTGGTTTTATAGGATTTTATAGGATGGGAGATAAGACAGAGGGAGAGGCTGTTACTCTGAAGAAACTACCTACTGTAAAAAGCCTAGATCCTGACATCATGGAGAGTTTTTCATTTTTATGGCATTTTATTTGGTCAAAATATACATTTGGGGGCTTACATGTATTTATGAATGCTCAGCATTACTGCACATTTGGCTTCCTGTGTCTCTTGTCAGACACAAGAAGATAAGGAACAGGCGGTTGTTCTTGTGGGACGTAATTTGAGCGACAAGTTCAAAAAGACCTATAAAAGTAAATAAATCTTGTTATCTAGAGTTATCTAGTTGCTAGCAGTGATAGCCATCTTTCTCATCCACAAGTTCCTTCACTCAGCTATGTCTTCCAACTTCTGCTTTGAATAAAGGGGAAAAAGAGAACATTTGGTCATACAATGAAATCTAAAATTATCTGTAGGAAGAAGGAGGCAGTACAGGTAAACTTAGTTGTAGCTTTTCCTAGTATTTACGGCTTCACATGTTTTGCAAGTGATTAATTTTTTTTTTCAGAGTAGCTTTAAAGGAGCATCAATGCATTAGTAAGAAGTAAAAAGCAAAATGATTTATCATAAGGGTTTTTTACTGATCCCCAGCTTGGAGCATGGGCAAGGTCTTGTCCTCCAGGTTCACAGCACATGCTTCTAATAACTAGAAATGTACATGCCATATGGTTGAAGCTTTTAAATATTTTGAGAATTGCAGTAAAAAAGCCATCAGTCCGAGGTAGATATCCAAGATACATTTCAATTCAATCTATTTAAGCTTAGCAAAGTTAAAAGTCTCTAAAAAAAAGAGCCTCTTATTTTGAGTAATCCTAACTACCCACTTGCCTGGCAGTCCTAAGTAGCGATTGGGAATGTTTTAGACAGATCAGGGAATCTGGCAGCAGTGCAGTGACAGTGGCTGGCCCTCCGAGCCGAGTAATCCTTGGTATCCTGGCAGCACATCAATCCAGTCACTGACTGCTGAGCAGAAAGAAAAAAAGCAGATTGAAGCTTTGGAGACGAGAACTTCAGCACAGAGGATAATCCTGGTGGGTGTCCAAGAACTCACAAAGTATATCATGGGCATAGCTAGAGAGAGCAAAAGCTGTCTGCTGGTCTCGCTGCCCAGATTTGTAAACCCATTTTGTGGATAGGAATGTTTCTGATGGATGTTCTTAAATGCTTTAAGAACATGGATTCATTCTCAGGAAACCACGGAGAGCTGCTCTAGTTGTTATTCCTGCTCTTTGGATACCCACACGGGAGGTAACACAACTAGTTAACTTTTTAGAAAGAGGGGAATACCAGGCTGCAGCAGTGCCAGCCAGCAGCGATAGGATGAATAAATGCCAACGCACTTCTGTATGTATTCTTTAGTCTTGATCATGGGAACTTGTGTAAATAGCATGACGTGAAAGTCAGTATCTTAGTAGACCGGATTGCACTTGCAGAAGGATACACCCTATAAGTACATTTTCTTGGGAAGCATATGTGGCTTTGAGAAGTCAACCTAGGTAAGTTATTATTGTTAAAACCTTGATGGTATCTCCTTAGTAATTCATACCTACTTGCAGTGTGAAGGAATCCTGGTATTTTGGAGTCCGAGTACTGTGTGTAAACCTCCTGCTTCTTCAGTGTCCTATTATTGTTGACAGTGTATTGGTAATCTTGTACACGTAGGTTCTCTGGTTAACAGGGTGGTTTCACTGTTTGTTTTTCCTTCCAGAATTTTATGCCATCCTTTGGAAAGGAGACGTTACGGACAACAGCTGTTACACCACAGTTTGAACGAAATGTGGATTATGCGGACTTCATTCATTTAAACATTTTGGAAAAGAAAGTTCTTAACAATTCTGAGGTTTTAGTTCAGTATTTATGTTCTAAGCCTTGCATCGTCAGCTTGGAAGCGGTAGCTTCCTCAGAGTTCAGGACTGGTGTACCAGTATACAGAAGAAGGTGGAAGGATGAGAAGAACCTTTACATTAGTCAAACTCGACAAGTGCATTTGAAGTTCCCAAGCATCATGGTTTACAGGGATGATTTTATCATCAGAAACTCAATAATGGTGCACAGTGTGATATTATATGCATGGATTAGTCACAAACCAGATAGCAGCTATGATGTTGAGCAGAATGAAAGCTACCAGGAGGCAGTAGCCAAAAATTACACTTTCTTAGAAGCAGTTCCGCCTTTTGAACGCCCATACAAAGACCACAAAGTCTGTCTTCAGTGGGGTGCTGACTATCTGTGGATGCTCCAGGCAAACAAGATACCCCAGTGCCCTCATGAAAGCGGTATGTGAAATGTCACTTTTTTTTTTTAATTTCTTCTGAGGGGACTAACAGGACCCAGATAACATCTCTGTAAGCTGTTAACATTTATTACAGGTATGCACTCTGTATGTGGAAAGATTTACTTGGCCCACATTGACTATGTAAGCTTAGTAACTACAGGGTTGGA